TTACTTTCTCTTTCAACTGCACCTAGCATTATCTTTGCTGGCCTGAAACTACCAGGAGTCTAGTGGGCTTTGCATGAATTTCACAGGGGTTCACTCCACAAATAAATCAGGTTGTACCTTCAACATTTTGCTTGAAAAATCTCCTTGGCAAAACATCCAAGTTTACCACTCAAATTCAGCCTTTCAAACAACCACAACATGGAATTCTAAACCTATTTGATACAATGTAATAATGATCCCTTTTCCTATAACAAGCACTTCACTTTCATCTCAGTCATTAACATTCAAATTCCTACTAGCCATCAGTTCTAGTTCTCTTTTTTGTCCTATCATACGCCTCAAAATTCTAGCCTCTGCCCACTTTCATTCCATTTTCAGGTAACAGTACCAAAATCTACACAAGTACTCTACTGCTGGCATAACAAATTTCTACTAAGGCTTATGACACCACAAATTTATTATCTCACATTTTCTGTAGGTCTTAACTGGTGAGCTTGGTAGATCTCCTGCTTTTAGAAACTTCAACCCAAAATCAAGGTGTTTGGGAAGCTGTATTCCCTCTTGAAACTCTGGGACAGAATCTACCTCCCAGCTCATTCAAATTGTAGGTCAAGGCCAGGTGCAGGTGGCTCAAGCCTGTAATCTTAGCTATTCAGGAGGCTGAGATTGGGGGGGGGGGAGACGAGGGAGTTTCAAGGCAGTACCCAGGCCCTGAGTTCAAGCCCATGACTAACCAAAAATAAATAGATAAAATTGTAGATCAAATGTCTCAGTTCTGGCTGGCTGTCAGATATGAGGCTTCCCAGATTCACTTTCATACTTTCCATGTGGCCCTCTCAGAAACCATGGAATCCCCTCATGCTTTGAATCTGATGTCTCCTTTCTACTCATTTGGATAAAGTTCTTTTTTTTTTTTTTGGTTACTCATGGGGCTTTAGTTAAAGGCCTGGGCTCTGTCCCTGTGTTTTTTCACTCAAGGATAGTGCTCTACCATTTTGAACCACAGCTTCACTTCCAGTTTGCTGGTGGTTACCTGAAGATAAGAGTCTCACTGACAGCTGGTTGGCTCACCCTGTAATCCTAGCTACTCAGGAGGCTAAGATCTGAGGATTGAGGTTCAAAGCCAGCCAAGGCAGGAAAGTCCATAAGAGCCTTTTTTTTTTTTTGGTCGATTGTGGGGCCTGAACTTTGTGCCTGGGCACTGTCCCTCAGCTCTTCAGCTCAAGGCTAGTGCCCTACCACTTGAGGAACTACTGCACTCCTGTCTTTTTCTGCTTATGTGGTACTGAGGAATCAAACCCAGGGCCTCATGCATGCAAGGCAAGCACTCTACCACTGAGCCAAGTTCCCAGCCCTACATGAGACATTTATCTCCAATAAACCACCAGTCAACCAGAAGTGGCACTGTGGTTCAAGTGGTAGAGCACTAGCCTTAAGCTGAAGAGCTGAGGGACAATGCCCAGGCCAAGAGTTCAAGCCCCAGGACTGACAAATAAAAAAAAAAAAAAGGTCACAGATTTTCCTACCCAGCTGACTTTGAGCAGGGATCCTCAGATCTCAGTCTCCTGAGTAGCTAGGATTACAAGAGTGAGGTACCAGCTCCTGGCTTACTTAAGTTTTCCACTATTAAAGACTCATAAGCTGGGAGCCAGTAGTTCACATGCCAGCCAGGGCAGGAAAGTCCGTGAGACTCTTATCTACAATAAACCACTAGAAAACCGGAAGTGGCGCTGTGACTTAAGCGGTAGAGCGCTCACCTTGAGCTGAAGAACACAGGGACAGCGCCCAAGCCCAGAGTTCAAGCCCCACGATCTGCCCAAAAAAAAAAAAAAAGGCATACCCAGAAAATCCAGGATAATTTCCCTATTCCTTTTTTTTTTTTTTTTGCCAGTCCTGGGGCTTGAACTCAGGGCTTGGGAACTGTCCTTGAGCATCTTTAACTAAGACTAGCACTCTTCCACTTGAGCCACAGCACCACTTCTGGCTTTTCTGTATGTAATACTAAGGAATTGAACCCAAGGTTTCACGCATACAAGGCAAGCGCTCTACCACTAAGCCACATCCCCAGCCCTTTCACATTTTAAGAGTCTTAACTTCAAAGTATCTCCAAAGTTCCTTCTGCCATTTAACATTACTTATAGATTCTAAGATTAAAGCATGGAGATCTAGGGTGTGGGGTATGGTGGCATTTTTCCTGTGACATACCCAAACACCATATAAGGTTTTAAACTAAAAAGAAAAAAAATAGCAAAAACTTGCTTTAGTATTAAAGAATTAAAGGAGGGGGAAATGGAGGGGGGCAGGAAAGGGCAGTTGGCGCTGGTGGCTCATGCCTGTAATGCTGGGGCTGGCACTTGGGGTCTACTTCATATCTTCTGAGACCAGCCTATTTGATGAAAAGCTAGGGATGGGTGGGAGAGTGTTGAATAAAACCTATTCACTTTGGGCACTGATAGCTCATGCCTATCTATAATCCTAGCTACTCAGATCTGAGGATTGTAGTTATGAACTAGACCAGGCAGGAAAGTCTGTGAGACTCTTACTTCCAATTAACCACCAGAAAACCAAAAAATGGAGCTGTGGCTCAAAGTGGTAGGGCATTACCCTTGAGCAAAAGAGCTCAGGATACAGCGCAGGGGCCTGGAGTTCAAGCTCCAGGACCTGGACGGGGACACACTCTCACGCGCGCGTGTGCACATACATACATGCACACACATACACACACACAGACTTGCAAGCTAAGGAAAATCTTCTTCTTTGAGAACATAAAGGTGTATGTTCAAAGCCTCATCCTTGGAAGAGTAGGTAGGCAATAGAACTAAATGCACACTATTGAAATGTAGCTGCCACCTGTTTCATCCTCAAAAAGTAAGACAATTCCCCCTTAACTCTAAAATTACCTCATGTTCCCCTTGTCTTTTCATAAATGAGGACACAAGTATGGAGGTGGCCATAGGGTAACCTATCTTTGACATTACTATAAAAATCAATCTAAGCCGGGCGCTGGTGGCTCAGGCCTGTAATCCTAGCTACTCAGGAGGCTGAGATCTGAGGATCGCGGTTCAAAGCCAGCCCGGGCAGGAGAGACCGTGAGACTCCTATCTCCAATAAACCACCAGAAAACCGGAAGTGGCGCTGTAGCTCAAGTGGTAGAGCGCTCGCCTTGAGTAGAAGAGCTGAAGGACAGCGCCCAGGCCCAGAGTTCAAGCCCCACGACCGACAAAAAAAAAAAAAAAAATCAATCTAAGTAAATAGCAAAGCCTTTTCCTTGTTTCTTCGAAGTCACACATCGTCCAATAGCAAATGAAAGCCAAATGCTTGAAAGGCATAGAAGGACAAACCTGTCCTGCTAAGATTTCAGCAGGTGAACTTTTCAAACTGCCAGGGAGAAGAACTAGTATTGGTCATTGGATGTTATCACCAGGCCTATCAAACCAGTTAAACCAAATGATCTGCAATAACTATAAGAAATAATTTCTGAAGCAGTTTGTGTGTATACACACAAGCTGATACTGGAGTTTGAACTCAAGGCTGGAGCACTCTCAGCTTTATTTTACTCAAAGCTAGTGCGCTATCTCTAGAGCCATACTCCACTTCCTGCTTTTTGCTGGTCAATTGGAGCTGAGTGTCTCTGACTTCCCTACCCTAGGCTGGCTTCAAACCTTCATCCTCACATGGCAGCCTCCTGAGTAGCTAAGATTGCAGGTGTAAGCCACAGGACTAGCTCTGAAGCCAAACCCGACAAACTTTACCTAAACCAGAGAAACCCTAAATATACAGGTTGGCCTTTTTAATAACTGACAAGTAAACCTATTAAGCAGGAACCATCAGGCACTGTGGTAAATACCTGATACAATTACTTTATTTACTCATTACTATATACTTTTGAGCTAAAAATGATCAGCACCCACATTTTATAGATAGAAAAATTGAGGCTTACAGAATTTTGGTCACACAGCTAAGTAGTAATGGCCCTGACATAGACCCTAGGAAATCTAGTTCTTAACCACTGGCCTAAACTGTCAACACTTCAAAAGGAAAGAGATCTCCAACTTCAGAAGGGAAAAATCTCCCCTTCCAATTTTTATTTCCATTTCCTTTCTCCATACCCACTTCCTACTGATTTTAACCATTATGAAGAGTCAATCAAGAATTCCCAAATAACCTGTCACCTTTTCAGAACTCTTTCCTCCCCCACAAAAGCGAAAGCCAACAGGCAATTCTGACTCTGCTTCCCCAAAACAAACTACAGAAGCTCCATCCATCCCCTGCTTAACCTAGATAGATCCCAGAACTGTGCCAAAAAAAAAAAAAAACTAACAAGAAACAAAATTCAGAAGTCTTGCTCTTTCAAAAGGTCACCAATATCTGTATACTTCTGAGCCAGCTTTTCATTCTCGATAGCTTTCCCTCCCCCTCCCCCGACCCAAACTCCAAACTAGCTTTCAAGCCTTACTCCACCCGCAGAGCCCCACTTCGCGGGTCTCTGCTTTCTCCCCAGCAACCCCGCCCGGGGGTGGAGGTTACCCCTCCACCTCGCACCCAGCCTGCAGGTGGAAAGCTCAGCCCCGCCCAGAGGGACCCGAGGGAGGCCCCCACCTCAGCTGCCTCGCTCGCGGGAGGCATCCTTCCCCCTCGACACCCCCCCCCCGAGACCCCACCCCTAAAACTCCCTTCCCCCTTCGCCGGCCCGCACCTCCCAGTGGTCCCCCCCCCCGTCTCCACCCAGCCCAACCTCCCTCCTGTAATAAGCCAGGGTCCGATCGCGGCGTCCCGCCCTCACTTGGGCCTCCGCGCCGCCAGTGCCGGGCTCTTCACCGTCGGGGGTGGCCCCGGCCTCCCGGATGGACTGCAGGGGCCTGGGCTGGGGGGAGGGGGGCTGGGGCAGGCGACAGGCCGCTGGGGAGCCCGCTGAGAGCGTGAGACGCGGTCGCGCCCCGCCGCCTTATCTCGGCCCACCGCCGCCCCCTAAGGACCTCGCCTAGCGGCCCCCACTGTACCTGTGGTGGAAGCGGCAGCGGCAGCGGCCGCTCTCCCCTCTCTTCACACAGACAATATGGCGGCGGCGGAGGAGGAGACACACGGCTCGGCCGCCAGCCGCAGGGACCAGAGCGAGGCTGCAGCCTCCGCGCTACCGGAAGCGGAAGCTCCCTCATACCAGGAGGCGGGGCGAGTCGACTTCCGGTCCCGCCTCCCCTCAGCGGAACCTACCTGGGCGCGGCCATGCTGGGATGTCCTATCGCCTCCCGGAGGGTTCAGTTATAGACTGGGCGGTAGAGGGAAAGAATTCTCAACGTAAAGCATAATGGTAAGATTTCCAACAATGAACAGCATTTTACTGTGGTACCTGCGGTGACTGACGAGACAGAGGACACGAGGCCTCCTACTAGGCGTACAGTTGGTTTGGCCCGAGGGAAGATGGCGGTGCCTAGGTTTCCCGCACTACGCCCTGCAGGGGCAGCTCTCCGAGCCGCGAACTGGCTCGGTTCTGGCAGAGAAGCCACGCGACCGGCAGAGCTGTACAGCGGAGCATTGTGGGAGCTGAAGTCCCTCCTGCTTTGACCCCTCTTCTAGGATTAAGGTTTCAGCAGCACTTTTTCTGTTTTCCGACCAAACTTGAGTTTCGCACAAGTTATAGAAAGTTGGGCCCTGGGGCGGGGCGTGACGCCGGGGTCCGAGAAATGACAGAGCCCGAGGCCCAGTTCCTCCCCGCACCGGGTCCCTACCTGGAGCCGCGGGTCCTGAGTACCGACAGGATTTTCCGCCTTTACCATCCGCCTCTCCTCCACACTCTCTTTTCCGGGGTCACCTCCCCCAAATAATCACTGTGCACTTTCTACTGTTCAGACCAGATCATAGACTCCTCTTGGTCAAAATTTTCCCGTAGCTCTCTTGTCCCATTATTTTGCTTGACATTCAAGGTTTTCCAGTTTGGGGTCAGACCCCTCCTTTCTAGTCTACCCTTCTGTCACACTCCTCTAAACTTCTTAATGTTTCCATCCCAAATGGAACAATTAACCTTCCTCCCTTTGCACAGATTTGTCACTTTTGTTACTGTTAACTTCCTGGATTGGATAACTTGTATCTGTCCATGGAACTAATTCAGGAGTCTTCCCCCTGGGGATATCTTAAACTCTGCCAAATCCAGGTACCAACACTCAGCAACCTGAGGTCCACAATCTGACTCCTCTACCAGATTGTGAGCCCCCAGTGGACAGAGCTAGATGTGATAATCACCTTGCCTCCCTGCAGGCCCTGCTAGAAGCTGGCAGATAGATATAGGTGTTGCAAAGGTGGATTCAAGTGTTAGCCTCACCTCTGCCTGGGCAGAGGTGTGAGGGCTGAACCAAGGGGTGAGGAGACTGGGTTATTTCTGTACCAGCCATTCCTCCCCGCGATCTCAAAATAACTGCCTGTTCCCTGGATGGGTCTCTGAGACACCCTTCTCAGCCCTCCTTTCACAGTTTGTCAGCTGATTTATACCTCTGGTCCCAAAGAGACAAGCTCTTTGTTCCCATTTGGGATAGTAGTGAGCTTGGCTGTAGACACATAGTGATAACCTTGGGAAGGTGGAAGTGAGTGACCTTGTCTAGGCCTCATCTCTAGACAGTTCTGTGGTATTTGAATTATCCACATTTCTGAGTATACTTGAGTGTCCATGGACTGGGTGGGTGTCATTCCTCCTCCTTGGTCTCAGTTTCTCCACCTGTGGACTGAAGAAGTTAAATAGGTAATCCCAAAATTTCTGTGAAATGGTTATCCAAGAAATGACTGGCCTTCCATGTACTTTGTGGACCTTGGACTTTTTTTTTTTAATGAGGGTCCTGAGGCTTGGACTCAGGATCAGAATTCAGTCCCTGAGCTTTTTTTTTTGCTCACAGCTAGCACTTTACAACTTGAGCCACAGTTCTACTTACAGCTTTTTGATTAATTGGTGGGCTTTCCTGCCTCAGCTGACTCCACAAACTGCAATCCTCAGATCTCAGCAACCTGAGTAGCAAGGATTACAGGTATGAGCCACAGGTGTCTGGCTCTTGAAGCTTCTTTTTCCTTGTTTTTAATTCATGCTTATTCCCCTCAGTTATTGATCACTTGCTACATGGCAGACAGTAGGACCTAGGCATATGGTGTGATTGAGACAGAGGCCAACTGAAAAGTCTATGAGACACTTATATCCAATTAACCACCAAAAAGCCAGAAATTGAGCTGTAGCTCAAGTGGGAGAGATCCAGCCTTGAGCAAAAACAGCTAAGGGACAGCACTCAGGTACTGAGTTCAAGCCCCAAAATCAGCAAAACAAGCAAATAAAACAGAACACCCCAAGTGTGTCCGCTTTCTACTGCTGCTTAACAAGTCACTCAAAACAGTGGCTTCAAACCACCATCACTCATTCAATCTGCAGTTTAGACATATCTCAGTCTTAGCCACAACAGCTCTTTCCTGTTCTGCAAGATCTCTCTTTCTCTCCCTTTTTTTTTGGTTGATCATGGGGCTTGAACTCTCGGCCTGGGTGCTGTCCCTCAGCTCTTCAGCTCAAGGAGAGTGCGCTACCACTAGAGCCACAGCAGCACCACTTCCAGTTTTCTGGTGGTTTATTGGAGACTCACGGACTTTTTCCTACGCAGGCTCGCTTTGAACCGCAATCCTCAGATCTCAGACTCCTGAGTAGATAGGATTACAGGCATGAGCCACCAGTGCCCAATTTTCTTAAAAGCTCTCTGAGAAATTGCTCCTGCATTTGCTCTCAGGGGGCAGATCAGTAAGCTAGCCTATTCTGTCTGGCCTCATTCGCTTGACTGGCAATTGAATGGGTGCAATTGGTTTTCCATGTGGCTTCTCCAGTAACGTAGGTCAGGCTTCCTTACATGATGGAGGTGGGGGTGAGGGGTTTGTGGAAAAGCAGGATACCTTGAAATTTTGGCTCGGTGGACTAGGAATGTGGCTTACTGGTAGAGTGCTTGCCTAGCATGCATGAAGCCCTGGTTTTGATTCTTTAGTACTACATAAACAGAAAAAGACCGAGGTGGTACTGTGGCTCAAGTGGTAGAGTGCTAGCTAGACTTGAGCAAAAGAAGCTCAAGGATGTCAGGCGCCAGTGGTTCATGCCTGTAATCCTAGCTACTCAGGAGGCTGAGATCTGAGGATCAGGGTTCAAAGCCAGCCCAGGCAGGAAAGTCCATGAGACTCTAATCTCCAATAAAGCCACTAGGAAACCTGAAGTGGCACTGTGGCTCAAGTGGTAGAGCGCTCACCTTGAGCTGAAGAGCACAGGGACAGTGCCCAAGCCCAGAGTTCAAGCCCCATGACCGACCAAAAAAAAAAAAAAAAAAGTTCGGGGACAGCCCAGGCCCTGAGTTCAAGCCCCATGACTGACAAAACAAACAAACAAAAACCAGCCCATGAGCCCAGCCAGCTCAAATTCAACAAAACTAGAAACAAACTCTCTGTAGATGGTACTATGCTTTGAATTCGGGGCCTTGTGCTTGCCAGGAAGATGATCCATGACTTGAACTATATTCTTAGTTTCTCTCTCTCTTGAAACAGCATCTCAAATTTTTGAGACTGGCTTCAAACTCATCTTTCTGACAGCCTCCTGAATGCTGGGATTATAGGCACATGCCACCACTCCCAGATCTATACTTCAATTCTCAATGAGAAAAACAATCACAGTGCAAAGTCATGTGTACCAGGAAGGATGGAAGTATCATGGCAATATTTGCAAACATTATTCTAAATTAAAAAACCACATGTTTTGAACTGGCTAGATAAATTACAGTGTAATTAAATATGGGGTGTGTGTGTGTGTGTGTGTGTGTGTGTGTGTGTGTGTGTTGGTACTAGGGCTTGAATTGGGCACTGTCTGTCCATTAGCTTTTTTTGTTTGAGGCTGATTCTCTGCCATTTGAGCCACAGCTTCACTTCTTAATTTTTGGTGGTTAATTGGAGATAAGAGCCTCACAGACTTTTCTGCCTGGGCTGGCTTTGAACCTAGATCCCCAGATCTCAACCTCCCAAGTAGTTAGAATTATAAGTGTGAGCCACCAGTGCCCAGCAACATGGAGTTCTTTATAATAACGAGGGCTGATATTTTCAAGCAATTAATATGTGTACATGATGTTTTACATATATTAACTCAACTAATCTTCACACCACCACTGCAACTCCTCCATTCAATGCACCAAATCTCACAGAGGTCAAAAAGCTTGTCCAAAGTAAGTCAGCAGCTGGTGAAACCGTTAAAAGGGTGAGGACAGTATTATGTCCTAATATGCAAAGTTGTCCCTAGCAGACTGTTACATGGTAAAAAGTGAGAGAGGAAATAGTTTGGTTAGGGGCAGGGAGTAGAAAGCTGGATGTTGATTGGTTTATTCTGGGCTGAGATGTGAGGATTAAGGTTCTAAGCCAGCCTGGGTAGACAAGTTTTAGATACTCTTAGTGCCAATTAACCAGAAAACAAACAAAAAAAAAAAACAGAAATAAAGATGGGGCTCAAGTAGTAGAGTGATAGAGTGCCGGCCTTGGGCAGAATAGCTCAGGGACCATGTGAGGCCCTGACTTTAAGCCAGTACTGGTGTGCACATATGCACTATGCATGCGGGCGTGCGCGCACACACACACACACACACACACACACGGGTAAATATGTATTATAGAGTTTTAGATAAAGTTCAGGAAAGGGGAGGTGGGGTGTGGTGAGATAGGACTCAAGAGTAGCCTTGAACTCATAGTCCTCTTGCTTCCAGATCCTGAGTTCTGTGGTTACAGGTGTGTGCTACCACACTTGGCTTATGAAACATCCCCACCAAGAGGAAGAGGAGGGAACTTTCAACATTTCTGTCTATATGATTTGAATAAAGCAGACATGAATATTATTGTCAATGCTCCATAAAGAAATGTTTTACAAATCTCCTTTAACTTGTTTCTCACTTCTGCCTTTTTCTATTTGGTTTGTACTTTTACTAGTTTGTTTCCACTGCCCAGCCCAATCCCTTATCTCTGCCCGGCAGTTTCTTCTCACTGCTCTACACATGGTCCTGGAGGAAACCTTACTAACCACCTGTCCCTTTCTAAGATTTGTCCTGCCCTGCATTAACTGCACAGAAAACCAAACCCTTTGGCCTGGTGTACAGGTATTTGTAACTTGGTTGGATTCTAGCTATTAACTTACT